AGGCAGCAGAGAGAGCGCCGGTGTTCTGATGAGGAACGACACACTTAGAACGGTAAGTTGCTAACTGACGAACCATGAGCTAACCTAGGTGCTCTGGAGGAAATCAGAGAGCAGGTTTGGGATCTAAAGTGTAACTACAAGCAGATTAGCTAGTGCTAGCAGGTAGCAGGCTCTCGATCAAGTGGGTTCAGAAACAACACGATGGTCGTGAAACTGAGAACATCTAAACTCTACAAGCAGAAGAACAGTCCTCACCATCCGGTTTATTCTCAGCTGTCTGCAGCGCCGAGCAGCAGAACCGCTGCGGTCAGGCTCGAGTCGAGTAAAAAAGAGAAACAAAATGTTTGCTAGCGGGTTTCGAGTTACGACCATACGATTAATCGATGATCCAAATAACCGTTAGTTACTGCCCCCCAGAATATCTTCTCCCCCAGCATAGCTCCTGCTGCTACAACACACGCACAGAGGTACAGTGGTTTTCTCCATGTTTAAAGCCTGATTTATACTTCTCCATCTGCGTTGGTTCAGACACCCACTGGCACACACCACCCCATACTGGCAGAAACGCATCATTTAGACATTAGTGCAGATTTAACAAAGGCAGCAGAAGCATCACATGGTCCTGAGTATTCAGACGCTTTGCTGTGACACTCATATTTAACTCTGGTGCTTTCCATTTCTCCTGATCATCCATGAGATGGTCCTACACCTTCAGTGAGTTCAGCTGTGTTTGATTCTGATTGGACCTGACCAGGAAAGCCACACCTGTCTATAGAAGACCTTACAGCTCACCATGCATGTCAGAGCAGATGAGAATCATGAGGTCAAAGGTCAAAGGAACTGCCTGAAGAGCTCAGAGACAGGATTGTGGCAAGGCACAGATCTGGCCATGGCTCCAACAACATCTCTGCTGTCTTCAAGGTTCCTGAGAGCCCCGTGGCCTCCATAATCCTTACATGGAAGACGTCTGGGACGTCCAGAAGCCCTCCTAGAACAGGCTGTCCAGCTACACTGAGCTACTGGGGGAGAAGAGCCTTGGTGAGAGAGGTACAGAAGAACCCAAAGATCACTGAGGCTGAGCTCCAGAGATGCAGGCAGGAGATGGAGAAAGTTGTAGAAAGTCAACCATCACTGCAGACCTCCACCAGTCAGGGCTTTGTGTCAGAGCGGCCTGTTGGAAGTCTCTCCTCAGTGCAAGACACATGAAAGCCTGCATGGAGTCTGTTTAAAGACACCTGAAGGACCCTGAGATGGTGGGAAATTACATTCTCTGGTCTGAGGAGACCAAGATGGGATTTTTTGGCCTCCATTCTAGGCGGTGTGTGTGGAGAAAACCAGGACCTGCTCATCACTTGTCCAATACAGTCCCCACAGTGAAGCATGGTGGTGGCAGCATTGTGCTGTGGGGGTGTTTTTCAGCTGCAGGGACAGGACCACCAGCCAGAGCCCTGACTTGAACCCAATGGAGCATCTCTGGAGAGACCTAAAGATGGCTCCACCAACCTTCACCATCCAACCTGACAGAACTTGAGAGGATCTTCAAGGAGGAATGGCAAATCCCCAAGTCCAGGTGTTAGACACGTGTTGCATCTTCAGCTGTGTCAGCTCAACAGGTGCATCTACTAAATACTGAGCAAAGGGTCTGAATACTCAGGACCATGTGACACTTCTGTTGTCTTCATTAATACATCTGCACAAATGTCTAAATGGTGTTTTTCTGCCAGTATGGGGTGGTGTGTGCACGTTAATGAGAGAAAATCCGTTTCACTGATTGTAGCAAACAGCTGCAGTATAACAGAGTGCAGCTTGATGGAAGTCTGAATACTTTCTGTACTCACTGTTAAATACTGTTCCTCTCCAGGGCCAGGAATAACGCCATTAGAAACACACCGCTGCTCTTATAGAACGACGCAGGGAGTAAGCTATTAGGTCACACGTAATCTACACACAAATGAAATTGCATTGCTGCAATACTTTTATTTTGAAAATCACCAGGGATTTTACACTGAAACCGTGTGCGATTTCCTGTCTGGAACTGTGTTAACTGCAACAATTGTGTCCCAGAAGCGGCTCAAGTAGAACCTGATGCTCCAGAGCCGCGCAGCACAGAGTGCCGGTTCTGGGAAGCGCCTGAAAATTGCCGCGCTATGGCTGACTTGAAACACCCCTTTAGACTATAACGATAACTGCTGCTGGTCCGTGCTGCCGATGCTTCCAGAGGGAAATGGGGGTTCGACTACCGCTTACGTACATATGTTAATCACAGTGAGTGCTCGAGCTTTAAAGTGCATACCTCGGTCGACGCCGAGTTGGCGACCTCACTCCTGCACAAGTGAGTCTTTAAAAGTCAAATATATATGCACAACATAACTTTATCTCTGTTTTGTTGCCTACAGGAGCGCATTCACGAACGAGAGGCATCGCTAAATACGAAAGTCTAAGCAGGTCGTGATGCGGTTGTCAGCCATCAGATGGTTTCATCAGATAAAACACAGACAGCCATGCTAAAGCTCCCTGCTTTAGGGAACGAAGAGCATCTTTAGTTCGTTAGCTAAAGAACCACGGTCACGGAGTAGAGGGGCGTGGCTTAGGCTCCCTATCGCATTAATGTTTCAAGTAGCCGAAGCTAGCATCTCCTTAACAGAAGTTTAATATAGAAGTATTTATAAAAGATTAAGCTAATATACCTGCTTTTCATTTAGTCGACTAAAATAAGATCTTTTGTCAAAAGTCTAATAGAAACTTGAAGAATCCTGTTAAAATGAACTCTGGTCTCACTTTGCTAATGAGTGCCTGTCCTCCGTGTCTGCTGGACGGTCCAGAAGCTCCAGGCTGACATCCGTCATGTCTACCAAGAAAGAAAGGTTGATGAAGACGTCGCCACTTAACACCGTCTGGAACAGAAATGAAACATGTTGCTGACACAGAACAGTAGAGCATGATGGTAATTAGAGCATCAGGACTGAATCCGGTTAGAAATCGGTTTAAACGGTAGATGACTGTAAACCGTCTGATAGTCGAACAACAGACTAGCTTATGCACTCTGTAACGAATCACATCTGCATGACCCTAGTCAGAGCCTCACATAGATGCTGGGGTCCAGCAGGTTGTAGGGTCGTAAGAACTCCTCAATAGGCTCTCCCAGGTTCTTCTCCAGCAGGCCTCTGATGAGCCGGTAGTGCTCCCTGTCCAGAGAGCAGTGCACCGACGACAGGCTGACGTGGATGGAGAGGTCAGGGACTGCATGGCTCAGCTCCCTAATGACATCAGAATCAGGAATGCTGACATTTACACCAAGTTAAGATGTGGAAAGCAACAACTTTCTTTAGGTGAAGCTCACAGAAACTGTTTTAAATTGTTGGTTTTTGAAATACTATCAGTCAAACTCCAAGACCCTGTCCACAGAGAGTCGGGTACCCACAAAAGGAAGATCTTCTTTAGAGTTTGGCCTGTCATCCGCACAAACGTGAAGATGAACATCACCAAAAGACATTCTCAAAACCGCCAACCAAAGTGTAGATAAGCTCTGTCAAGAGTTTAAGGTGTGTCACAGCCTGGCAAGAAAGGCACCGACATCACATGTCCCACTATCTAGTCTTGTAGCCATCTTTATTAACATTGTGACCGTTGTAACTTCTGCAAAAAAGCTCCAAACTGTATCAAACAGGGTGGGAGTCACCACACAACTCACATGTGTGTGTGTGTTCACTCGTTCAATTCACTTTAACTCCGCCCACTTACAGCCTTTTGGCTCCAGATGACCCATGCAACGTTTGATTGATGCCAAATGAACAGAAAACCATCTTGATGACCCGAGATGACCTCTATGGGATTTAGTTGTAAATGGTCACAGCGCCCCCTGGATGGGTTCAAACTTTATTAACTTCTAAAGACAAGGTCAGAATGGCATTAGACTTGGCTTGTGTCATCACGTGACTGCACTAAACACATTGATATGGCTGTTGGGTCAAATCCCTTTAGCTCCGCCCCCTTTCAGCTCTCTGGTTCTAGAAAGCACACGCAACGTCTGATTGATGCCAAACTACCACAAAACCATCTTTGACTCCCTAAGAGGACCTCAATGGGATTTTTATGTAGTTGGTCACAGCGCCCCCTAGATAAGATTAACCTTCAATAACTTCAAAAAACGTGGTCAGAATAGCATTAAACTTGGTCTGTGTCATCACACCACAAGTGTGGTAAAGATTAGTATCCCCTAGTGGTGAGATGGCTAATTTAATAGTGGGCTCAAAGAAGATGCTGAGTCAGGATGAGGAGCAGACGAGGAGACTGTTCGCCGTGTCTGGGATCGCGGGGGTCGACATTTCTGTTCCGCGGACGTGCCCAGGCGCCCCGGGCTGCCGGCCAGGCCGGAGCGGTGCGGAGCTGCGAGGGCTAAACTACGCTGCTTGCAGCTTTAATTATTATTATTATTATTGGTCTTTGGCTGTTCAATTATTAATGATGATGTTATACAGTGTGGGTGATGGTGGTGGGGGCTTATACTGCTGTTGTTCTATAGCCCAGCCCTAGTACCCATCTGGGATCTAGCCTGAGTGCTGAAACAGCTGCAGTCAGGCCAAAGAAGCCTGGCACTGAGGAAACTACAGTACTCTAGACCAGATGTAACGAATGCCTGGACAACTGTTTCCAGATGTGCTCCAGATACAAACAGCCTTATCTTAAAAGACTTCAAATGAAAAGAGTGTGACAGAACAATGCCATTCACGTGGCTTCTTAATTTAAGGTCTGAGGAGGATTTAGTCTGTGAAGACAGGACAGCCCAACTATCTCACACACACACACACACACACACACACACACACACACACACACACACACACACACACACACACACACACACACACACACACACACACACACACACACACACACACACACACACACACACACACACACACACACACACACACACACACACACACACACACACACATACTTGTCTAAGTTGCGCTCCACTTTAAACTTGAGGCGGCAGCAGTCTCTCAGCAGGTTGTCTCCAGTTCGACGGATAGAGAAGGAAGGAAAGATGAGGTCAGAGGGCTCAGGTTTACCAGTTCCATCAGGAGAAAACAGGCGCTCTGCAGCAAATATATCCATCTCCTGAAGGTCTAGAGCCATGACGTCCAACAAGCACACATGGCCCTCTAAAAGGAGAAACAAGTAGACCAGAAAGGCACAAATGAAACTATTGAATCTGGCTGTTGGCTAAAGCTAAACAGTCTGTGGCTCGTGTTTATTTAGCTCCACCTTGAGTTCTACTACCCTCCACCACACTTCACAACAGAAGCTGTCATTTATCCACACACACCTGTCCAATCTTCTACATCATAACCACAGCTGCTCTGGGGTACACCACCAGCCTCTCATATCTGGCCAGGCCCGGTCTGGTCTGCCCCCGCGCAGCTGGATTTGTTCACACACCCTTGTCAGGAAGGTAGATGTCTCCGAACACGTGGGCGGTGCATAAACCCTAATTTATACTTCTCTGTAAGCTCCAGGTGGCAGAGACAGCTGTCCACTGACAGAGACGTTTTGTCCTCATACATCTCCGTCTCCTGGGGCGTGTAGCAAAGCAATTCCCCGACAGGACAACAGAGGGCGCTGTTCTGTGGTATCCTGTCATGTATCTGGCCCAAGAGTGTGTTTATAATGTGTGTTTTTTTGTATTTATAAGATCCAAAAGAAAAACCATCTAGATCTCCTTGGCTTACAGAAGGAATATTTAATGCTTGTAAAAAGAAAAATAATCTTTATAAAAAATTTATCAATTCCAAAACTAAAGAAACAGAACAACGATATCAGATATGCAAAAGTTAATTAACTAATAAAAAACTGTACTATAGGAATATATTATATGATAACAAAAATTATCTAAAAGGAACATGGGACATATTGAATGGTTTAATTAAATACAAAACCACAAAGACAGGATATCCAAACCATTTTTGAGATGCACATGGAAACAAATGTAATATGGAATTAGCAATAGATCACTTCAATGAATTTTTTGTTAATATTGGACCAAATTCAGCAGGTGAAATTCGAGACATCCCAATTGGACAATTGAATTAAAAGATTAAAGTAAACACACACTCAATTTTTCTTGCAGCTATAACCAAACAAGAACTTATAAATACTGTTTATAAATGCAAAAGCAAACAATGTACTGACTGCCACGACATAGAAATGTTCCTGGGAAAAAAGTTATAAATCATATCTCCAAGCCACTCACCTACATTTGTACCTTAACATTTCAAACCGGTACTGTTCCAAATAAAATGAAAATTGGTAAAGTCATACCTATCAACAAAAATAATGACAAACACATGTTTACCAATTGTAGACCGATCTCATTGTTGCCTCAGTTTTCAGAAATCTTGGAAAAACTTTAATACACGACTAGAAAATTTCATTGATAAACATGACATAGTTAATGATGGACAGTATGGCTTCAGAAATAAAAGAACAGCTTCTATGGCTATAATAGATGCCATAGAAGAAATCACCAGTGCACTTGACAACAAAAAATATGCTATTGGAATTTTTATTGACTTCAAGAAAGCTTCTGATAAAATAAATCACTCAATTCTACTTGACTAAGTGGAAATATATGGAATTAGACGAGTGGCACTGAACTGGGTAAGAAGTTATTTAAGTGGAAAGGTACAGTATATTAATATTGGACAGAAAAGGTCAAAAACTCTTGACATTGTGGTGTACCCCAGGGATCAGTACTGGGACCTAGTTTGTTCAGTTTGTACATTAATGATATTTTTGAAACATCTACATTACTAAAATTTATTTTATTTGCAGATGATACAACTATATTTTATAGCAGTGACAATTATCCAAATCTTATTAAAAAATAAATGAAGAATTGATTGTTGTTAAAAGATGGATGGACAGCAATAAGTTGTCATTAAATTTAAACAAGACTAAAGCAATAAAATGTGGTCATCAAGAAACAAAGTTTGAGTTGCCAATAAATATAGATGGGTTTCAAATTGAAGTGGTACAAGAAAGCATAGTTTTGGGAATCACAATAGACAGTAAACTGTCATGGAAACCTCACATCAGACACATAAAACTAAAAATCTCAAAAAGTATTTTGATAAAAAATAAATCCAAGTCATTTCTTGATTGCAACACACTTCGTATATTGTATTGCTCCTTAGTTCTCTTTCATTTTCCTTATGGCGCTGAGGTATGGGGGAATAATTACCAATGCTCCTTACAGCCTCTTTATATATGACAAAAAGAGCGGTCCGTATCATAAATAAGGTTGGATTCTTAGAACACACAAATCAACTTTTTTACAGTCAAAATTATTAAAATTACAGGATATAATTAAATATCAAACAGTTCTTATTCTTTTCAAAGCATTTAATAAACTTCTACCAAATAATTTACAAAAGCTATTTATAGTTAAGGACCTGTCTCGTAGCCTAAGGAGAGATAAAATATTTAAATTAGCACTGGTGCGAACAACACCTGAAAGCTTGTGTGTGTGTGTGTGTGTGTGTGTGTGTGTGTGTGTGTGTGTGTGTGTGTGTGTGTGTGTGTGTGTGTGTGTGATAAAAATATGGAATAACTTAAAGACTGATCACAAACAATGTCAAAGTATTCAGATTTTTAAAGCACACTACAGAAGAACAGTCTGGTTAAAATACATTACACATGAGAATGGGCGATGATGTGAGTAAAGGTGGATGGGAATATATAATTAATGATATTGACAAGAATTGTTAAATTGTCTAGACTACCATTATTATTATTATTGTTATGATTATGATTTTCTTTGGTCATAAGGTTGTTGAATTTGAGTCAATGCTACATATTGAATGTTAAACTGTTAGTGAAAAACAGGGGTGGGCTTGAATAAGCTTGGCCTCCGCCCACTCCCTTTCGAACATGCCTACAACAAGGTCAAGTTGATTTATTACTGATTTATATCCTGTTGTTAATTGTGATGTTATTGGCATGTTGGAAATAAATGATGATGATGATGATTTCAGAAACTTTTTGTCCCTCATTCTCCACCTCTAAACCCACGTTTCCCGTCATCGACCAACAAAACACTTGCTGCCCATCTTTTAACTCATCTAGTCACGGGTAGGGTTGTCACGGTGTGAAAATTTAACCTCACGGTTATTGTGACCAAAATTACCACGGTTTTCGGTATTATCACGGTATTTTTTTGAAACGTCAGGATAATATTGTCCTCAGTTTGTGTCTAAATTTAGCCTAAAATGTGTTATTTTATAATTATGTTGTTTATTTGTTTCCCTATAGTCTTTAAAATACCAATATTTGCCCATAACTTCTTATGTTTTGTCTGTTTGATGTCATCATTTAAAAGTATTAGACCAGATGATACTCAGTACTCAAGTAGCCTTCTAATCAGATACTTTTTTACCCTTACTTGAGTAATAAACCCTATATCAGGAAAATATTGTCCTCGGTTTGTGTCCTTCCAGTGAGCTTTGCAGATGTGGGAAAGTGTCATCAGGCAGTAATCGTTGTTAAATTCATAATTATTCTCGGAGAGAGACCAACTCTTATCGGCCCCTGGGAGCCCCGTAATGCATAGCGTCATTTCAACATGGCGGTGTCCGCGACACGGTTTATATGCAGGTAGCGGCGCTGCGGCTGCTTTATATAGCCACTCGTTGCATTCTCCCTCAACCCAAATCCTCGGATCACGCATTTTAGCTAAAACGCTAACGTTAGCTTGCCTTGTGTTGACTGTAGAGTTGTGGGTGATGGTCACGCAGATGTGTCATGAGATTTGAAGCGTTGCTGCCTTTCACACACACTTTTTCTGCTCGTGCTGCAAACAGGATAGCCGTCTTCTATCAACTGTCCCTCGGCATTCTTCAGATATCCAAAATATGCCCGTACTTCCCACTTTGTCTTCTTTGAGGGATAAAAAATGTCCTGAGTGCTGCCGTCTCCTCCTTTGGCCATTATTTCAGCTTTAGCTTCAAGAAAGTTTTGGTTGTAAACAACAAAGTGCTCATGTGCCGCCGGTGTCGGTACATGATCGGCTCGGGGTCCTTCAACTGCCGATGACGTCAAAGTATGGCAAACCCACTCGGACAAAATACACTACACACCTATACTGTTGGAAAGAATTTAGCAGTTTCGTTATTAAAATAACGTTTCTTAAGACGTAAGTTTGTGTTTATAATGGTATTTGTAAAATAAAACACTATATTTTATTCATAATGTTGAACTCCTCTTTGAGCACATCCCTTGAAGGATCATAGGTATTAGCAACACATGTGAAATTGTATTTGCAGGAAAGAAGTGTGTCCCGTTTATGGAAGTATTTTGTGTTTAGAGTTTTTGACGTTTTGTCCATGCTTAGTTCAGGTACGCTCATAGCTGCTAGCCAAAACTCTGGAGTTAAAAGTTTTCTGGCTTTACTAAAATACCTGTCTGTACTTATTTGATTGATGGTAGTTTTACTTTCTATTAGACTCCAAATGTAATCATTTGGCACGTTTCTAATTCATAATTTGTAATAATATAATCGGCGATATTAGCATTAGCATTCCTATGGGTTTTTTCCACGTATATTAGCATTGCGCTAACCATTCGCTGCCAAATTGCAGCCTTTGCGATTAGAAAATCTCCTTTTGTCACATCGCAATTTAATTGCACATGCAGTTAATCGTTCAGCCCTAATATACATGCAGCTCTATGCTAAAAGTGTATTTTCAAACAGGTAATGATGGATTTCTTTGTAAAAGTTGTTCATCTTTCCAACAGAAAGATTTGCCTGGACCAACGTAACGTGATACCAACGTAATGTGATTACGTAATCCCGTAAGGTTCATGTTCAGCCAATCAACTACTTTGACGTCATCGGCAGTCGACGGACCCTGAGCCGATCTTGCACCCGAGCAGATCCTGTACCGACACCGGCAGCTTCAGCAGATGATACGGTGGCTGGTGAGGGTCACCGCGCCTACACCGCAGCCACGGTAATCCACCGAGATAATATAGTTTTTTTTAAAACAAAACGGTTATTATTGTCATCTTTTTTACCGGGGTTTACCGCTACACCAGTTACCGTGACAACCCTAGTCACAGGTGAATAAAATGTTCATATTGCTAGAGTTTTTCTACGAGGTATTCTTCAGGTCTGCTGCTAGATGTCCTCAGCTTTCTTTTGTGTTTGAGGGCTCAGGCGAGGTGCTGCTGACGAAAGCAGCATCCTGAGCTTCAGTTCTTCATCTTGTTGGACGGATGTTAGAAAAGAGCTCGACTCCGTCCGTCCTTGAGGGCCTGCTGGAGAGCCCTCAAAAGGATGGATAACGGTGTTGCGTGCGTCTGTCCCGACGCAAACGGAGAAGCATAACTTAGGCTAAAGACGTGCAGAGAAGTACGTGGTGTCCTCCTTAAGTTGGTAAACAAAGGCGACTTTGTTTTAGATCTGCACACAGCTTCCTGCTCCTCTCACAAGTCAGAGAAGATATTTACTGTATCCAGACCCACCGGCGCCTCTAGCCTGTTTTGGGGGTGCTGAAGCACCCCTAAATTCAACCCCAGAACCTCTAAAGTTGGAGATTTTTAAATGAATTGATTTATTTACAGTTGTCTCATCTCACCAGACTAGTAAAACATAATAACCTAGATGAGGTTGAAACATTATATTTTAACTAGGCTGTGGGAAAGTCCCGAGTTTCCATTGGTTTTCACGTGTCCTGCACACCGAGACGCATTATCCGTGTCCCGATTCGTGTTGAAACGGTACTTAAAGCGATTGTGTGATGAAAGCAGTGGCTGTCTTTATTCTCTTTTCTAATGAAAACACCTGAGTTGACATGCACACCTTCTCCCACCAGACAGAATCAGTAAAAAGCCCAAACCTGTGCTGAGGAGTCCCAGTGGCTCAGGCGCACTGCCCAGGTTGAACGGTGTATCTGAAGATGAGCAGCGGGGGTTCTCCTGCTCATCACTGCTGACACCCTCCTGAAGACAAAGAAAGCTTGTTTCATCAACACAAGCTAAACCACAGCTTCATTTCCTTCTCTTACTTGAAGAATTTTAGATGTTCTCCATCAGGCAAACCTCATCAAACTAGCTCACAGTGCTCCTCCACGAGGAACAGAACATAAGCTCAACATGCACGACTGAATCCTGAACAGCTTGGTGACTCCCTACCGTGGTGAGAAGTTTCTACCTTGTGGAAGGTGCTTGGAGCCCCAGCTGACAGGAAGCAGTTCTGGAGTCTAAGTTGACCCAGGTTGGCCACAATCACCTTGGTTGATCGTGAGCTCTCGGGTATCACAATAACAGGGGCACCAGCCTCAATATCCAAAAGAATCCTGGAGGCCCGCTGGGGCAGATCCCGGACCTGCAGTCAAACAGAAACACATCACATCAATGACACGGAGTGGTCCATTGTGTGTTACTGTAAAGGCAGCACTCACAGCCTGACCCTCTACTGCAGCCCTCTGCCTGCCCAGCACATCCTGCAGCTGGGTGAAGTGCTGAATAAAGGCTACCACCTCGGCCTGGAAGCGCTGGGTGTGCACATACTGAACTGAGGCCATCTGCAGACACACCTTGATGTCACAGTCTCGTTTCAGGTTCACATCAGGGCAGCCATACCTCATAGAGACAACGCAGAAGAGACTTTCAACAGCGCAGATCCTCCATGTCTTTGAGGGACGTCATGCTGTGAGGCGTACCTCAGAATGTTGAAAACAAGAGCTTTTCCTCCCTGTGTGACGAAGCGCTCCCTGTACAGGTCGCCATGTGGTGTCAGATCACTCAGAGACAGACTTCCCAAGCTGCCATGGATTGTTAGGTCACCATCTGTAAGCACAGTAAGACACCTAGACACGATGGTGGACAACGACTGGTTTCTAATCCTGTCTGGTTGACATGCAGTTGAATATTAAAACAAAGGTTCTCAAAGCTTTATGAAGATCAATTCTCTGAGAAGTTGAGAAGTGTCACTGAACCGAATAAAAAGTCATTTAATGGATCTTTATTAGCACTCAACACTTGTGCGTACACAAGAGTGCACACTGATCTCATTGGGGGGGGGGGGGGGGTCAGCTTCATTGAAGAGGTAGCAAATGGCTGGTGCACATTTATGTGGAACAGAGCACTCAAAGGATCATTGGGTAATCCATGGGATTGTGGGATCCTATGATATTCATAGGGTTCCAGAGTACTCTAATATTTTATGGGATTCAGGATTAAAGTGGTATTCCATAGGAATCTGGATTAAGAAGCAGTATTATCAACAGTTAAAGCTCCTTCCTTGTCTTATTTGTGTCCTTGTAAAGGCACTTCCCCTTCCTGGTGGCGGTGCTCAGAGGAGTGGCTTGTCCCGTCAGACCGCCCCAGAACATCAGTGCTGCTGTTGGACCTCCATCAACAGAGTGTACATGGATATCAGCTTCACTGTGGAAATCCAGCTGTTTGTATTCCATTATCACTATTACTGGTCTGATTTCAGGCGTTTTATAATGACGTTAGCTATTTATGCACTCAGGGTGACCTGAACCACAGATGATAGATCTGCAACCTTCTAGGGTCTACTCTACCATCAGCTGATAATATAAGTATTATCATGCATTTATGATACGACCAACTGAGGTTGTTGTTTTTGATTTTTACTATTTAATAAACAATGAACACAACAACAACAGTGTTCGCGTTTCTCAAACACACCTAGGACTTCCAGTTGAGTAGACAATTTGGACACGCTGGCTCTGGCAAGCTCATTGAGCTTCTTGTTGAGCACCAGATTCAAAGAGTGAACCTGAAACAACAAGAAGTTTGGTCAAAAGGCATTTCCTTTGGCCTGAAGTATCATTAAAGTAGACACACCGGTGTAAGATAAGACAGGAAGAGATGTGTCACTATCCAGTCTCATGCTTTCATCACAGAATGAATGTTTTCCAAAACGTCTCAGCTTCGTATACAAGTCAGTGTGTGAAACCTGACGTACCTTACCTGGTTGTTCCTACTGTACAGAAAACCATCCGAGACATACCTTCAAATCCACCTTGGTGTTGACTGACTGAACTGGCTCTTCCCTACTGGCGTCTGGCTCAGAAGATGGGTGTACTGGTCCAGGCCAGGGTGAGACTGGCACCTTTACAGCATGATTGCTGGCTGTAGAGCCAATCCCAAAAAAATCCAAAATCACCACCCAGGTCTGGAGTGTAATCAAAACATCCAGGCAGTTAAAGTCTATGTCCACACTTCGCCCCACACTCCAATAGCGTGTTTTAAACTCAGGGTGATTAGGGTCCACCAGTAGAAGATTCATATGAACTAATGAGTCATCAAACTCTGAGAGGGGCTGGGGAGAAGCTCTGTAATGAGTAGGAGAAGGAGGTGGAGTGATGGGACAGTCTGGGTCGCGTTTGGAGTTGCGGCTGCTTGACGTAGGTGTGCTGGGATGTCTCTGGTAGAGTTGGAAGACGTTCTGTGCTTCCTCCATGTGGGCAGGCAGTGAACGGGGCATGTCTGGGTATAAAGCATTAGATGTTGATGGACAGCTTTGGGAAAGGTATTCCTTTGGACTGAAGGTGGGGGGCTTAGGAGCTCCATGAGATAAAATCAAGTATTTGTATTTAGAATCTGGGTTGTGTTCCAGGAGGTCTTCCATCAGTAGAGAACGCAAAGCCAGCTGCACTTCCAGTAAATGTGGGTGGGTTTTGATGAATTCTCCCTCAAGGTCTTGAAAACATACACTGACCAACCCCTGAGAGCCCTGGGAGAGGTCTGCACTGAGCATGACCTGCAGCTCTGCCACATTTAAGGTGACCCTCAGCTGAGTGAAGGACGGAGAAGTGTGTGGCTGTAGAGACAAAGGAGATGACAGAGACAAGTGGGGGAAGTTCACGGTGGGAAGGTTCCTAGCAAACAGTCCTCCCTGGAGATCTGGAAAAGTATGGGGTCTGGCAGACGAAGGGGTGGGTGGGGGAGGAGTAGGCGGATGGCTGGACGTGGCTTGTTGCTCCTCACTGAGAAAAAGGTTGTCCAGCGTTTGGAGAACTTGCTCATACACAGTCTTGCAGAGACACACCTGTCACACATATATTCAAATGAACACCAAATAAACGTCAGACATATGGCCAGTTAAAGAAATGTAGTATTTACATGACCAGACCCTAATACTTTACATTTCAGCTGTCTCAATTTAAATAGGACCAAGCTTGTTTAGGTTGACTCAAATCACCAAACTTCTGGTTCCCAACCTGTTTGGAGCGTGGACCCTCTGAGCTGTTTTCTCGTACCACGAGGATCCCCTCAGTCAAACATCCCCAAATGTAGAACGTACAACAGATTACTAAATGAAAATACTTTCTTCAAACCTTATTAACGCAGAACCACGTCTCACTTCCTGTCTGGCTCAGGTGACTTCTTTAACTTCAACAATCCTCATGCAGGGTTCAGACTCCATGTGGAAACCTTCTGGAGCTCTGCATCCAGGTTTGCTCCGTACCACACCACCTTAGTTGTGCGCATACTGGGACATGAACTATTTGAATCTCTTTTCTGATTTGCGTTGTGGAGCAGATGAAAGTGTTGATGATAGAATGTTTTCTACTGAACTGTTCTGCAAATTTCCAAGGTATCTGGAAAACTACAGTTCACTGCGTGCACCGTCCATGATGACATCACTGTGAGGGGGACAGGAAGTACCATGGCTCACCGGAGTTCATCGACTAGAGCTAGCGCTTGCTATCGTGCACAGGGTCAATTTGAATCGATTTCATAACATATAACCCACACTGCCTGAAAATTACGGAAATTCGGTAAAAACTAGAAAAGTCACATAGTAGATAAAACCAGTGTCTTTAATTATGCATTTTTACTTTTATTCCAGTCAAAGCACTCTGCTTAAAACAGGCGTGTGTGTAAACTCCCATCTCCATTCTCCTCAGTTTACATTGTTGAGTCTCAATAAGTTCAAGTATTTCATCACATGTGATACCATCCCATGCTTTCGTTCTTTTTTAAACACAGAAACAGTTTTGTTTACCTGTTTGTAGCTACAGTTTCGCCGACGGCTGCCGGCTTCTTCAGGCTGACGCTGATGGTGGCGCGTCACTTCCTTCTCCGTTTATCTGCGGGCAGCAGAGGACGTTGTCGCCCTCTACTGCCCGCTCTCCCCTCTCCGACGATGCAGTCCCATGCGTGATCCAGTGTGTAAACTCCGTCGTCCCTGTTCATGGTCCCACATCCACGTCTCCTTATCTCGATAGCTTCCTTGATCCATCTTTTGTATTTTTGTTGTTCGGTGGTTATGATCCGTGTGTTGTCCCAGTCCATTATACGGTTTTCTCTTAAGCAATGATCTGTTACGGCTGACTTCTTTATTGTACTTTCTGCTTCTTCTTTTGCTGCTCTTGTGTGTTTTCCACTTGTTTCTTTCTCGCACTCCTTTCTGTGTTCTCTGCTGCCCGCAGATAAACGGAGAAGGAAGTGACGCGCCACCATCAGCGTCAGCCTGAAGAAGCCGGCAGCCGTCGGCGAAACTGTAGCTACAAAACAAGTAAACAAAACTGTTTCTGTGTTTAAAAAGAACAAAAGCATGGATTTAGAACCACGACACAGCAAGAACACACCTAAGGTGTGATACCATCGTTTCATGTGCCCTGTGTATTTCTGTCAGAGGTGGAAAGAGTACTAAAATTTCCTACTTAAGTACGAGTACCAGTACTTTGATAATTTTTTACTCAAGTACAAGTAAAAGTACTTGCCGAAATATTTACTCAAGTAAAAGTAAAAAGTATCGTAAATAAAATGTACTCAAAGTAAAAGTTACTTAGTTACATTTTTGTCAGCGTAAAGATGGCTACATCAGTGCAAAACCACAACACCAGTTCACAACACGCTCGTGTAACGCACACACGCGGACACACGCACAGTTTGATGGAAGGATTTCTATCCAATCAGTGAGAACAGGACGTGCACATTGATTGGAAGAGGTTTTTCTAGGATTGTACATTTCAAGTGTGATTAAAATTATTCTTTTTTTTTTAAAGTTAATTTTTAGACGCCATCAGTATGTGAGGTATCTCAATGTTTTCATGACAAAACTCTAACATGAGACTGTGCTCTAACCTGTCACATAACGAGCTAAATGAAAGTCAAACATGTCAGATGGAGCGTATGACAGCTGCTAACGGTGGCCCTGCCCTACTTTACCTCTACATTACAGTTCCTTTATCCATGTCCATCCTAGAGCTCCTCTCTGACCTTCATGCTTATTTAGAGCAGCTGATGTTTAAAGTTAGCAGAGTTCATCTTTGGTAGTGGGTTCACTCACTCATTTAAAGATATCGGCCAGAGGCAAGATTCGTTTGAACATTATGTGTAAATGTGTATTAAAACCTCAGATGAAAAAGGTTTTTGGATCTTGACGGCTGGAATTGTAAGAAGATCTGATGTTTGTGACCGGCGCGGGAAAAACAGAAACTAACGTCCGGTCTAAGCCCTGGGCAGCTGGTGACGTTTCACATGGAGCTCTGCTGAAACAGCTGTAGTAAACAACGCCTGACTCCGCTGTTTCTGTGTTAGCGTTATAGCAGAGAACATTGTGTCATCAATCAGATGTAGCTTCTGAAGCCTCTACTAGTCCATCAGATTTGTTTTTTCTCTGGGATACGGCGACGAGAACGGATGTTAGATTACTGGAGAAGTTCAACCGAACTCCGACCCCGCCAGCTGGATATCACTACCAGAGGTGCAGACATGCTTTAGACCGTTTGACTCAGAAGACCTGCAACCTGATTTAGACATAGAGGAGGATTCTGTTCATCTTCAGAACCAAAATCGGTTCAGTTTGTTTACTTTTCTTAAATATTTCATTTCTGTGCTCCACTGGGAGCTCTAAGCTGGTCTTAGCTCCATCATGTGTCCCAATATAGTTCAGTAATCTACAGTTTTACTGCTGTGTGTATTTACTGAAATAACTCTGGAAAATAATGAACCTACAATTTACCAGAATAAATCTTCCTGATGCTGGAGTAACTCCTTAGCTCAACTCGTTGTTTGCACTAATCCAGGATGTCATGGAGGTTCTAATGTTGAAATATAGAGATTATCTTTTAGATTATATCTGTGTGTGTGTGTGTGTGTGTGTGTGTGTGTGTGTGTGTGTGTGTGTGTGTGTGTGTGTGTGTGTGTGTGTCGTAGCTTTCCCAAAGGACTTGTTCTTTCCTTACCGGAGCTAACTCGGTTAGCAGTGTTGCTGCAGTCATGCTAACGGGACTCGTCTGGAGTCCAGAAGTAGCGGTGCGGTTCTAGATGGATTTATAGATGTAGGTTATTATTTTAGATCAGACTTGTTATTTAAAAATGTGTGTAGGACACAGACACATGGCTCAGACCTTTTGCTTCAGCTGTAAACGCAATTTTACGTAATAATTAGGAGCATGAAAGTAAACAAATAACAGTGATTCACAATACTAGCATCAGCAGCTAGCTTGTTTTACGTGCTAGAGTGACGTATGCGAAACAGTTCTTCACTGTCTGGAGGAGAGGATTTGGATTTTCTGTAATGATTTATGACAAAAGTCCTTAATAAAATAAAAAACTGGACCCAGTACATGTTTATATAGATAATAAAGTGTAGTTATTTTGCATTTTTACAGTTTTAATGCCGAGCCAATACCTTTAACCCTTCACCATTGAAATCAGTTTGTTCATTCCAGTCCTCCTAAATAATCCTCCAATCATCCAACTGGAATCCTTGAGGGTCCCGTAACGTCCATCCTGTCAGAACAGGCCGTGGGAGCCCAGGTGTTACTAGAACTAACGGTGTCTCCTCACCAGCATGAGCCTCCACACTGTGAAGGTTGGTCTCAAAACATCAACATTAAATTCATGCATTCACCTCCTCTTGTAACACTTTAACATGTTTTAAAAGGCTTGTATCATTATAAGTTACACCTCCCAGACCAAAGATAAGATAAAACATTATCATAAACACTGCAGAGACGTCATTATTTATGAAATATAGGTTATTTTCCTAAGCCATTACTTCAGCCAAGATATGAGATGCATGGATTTGATGAAGCCATGCTGTCTCATGCAGTCCTATATGTGTAACACACACACACACACACACACACACACACACACACACACACACACACACACACACACACACACACACACACACACACACACACACACACACACACACACACACACACACACACACACACACACACTGCAGCATGTTAGAATCATGTGAATGACTAATTTAACTACACTGAACTGCTTTAGTAATACTTTAATCTCTAATTCTGGACTAAAACAAAGAAACAAGCTAAATTATCACATATCTGTGGCATCAAGGAGCAACTTCTGAGTTCACACACAGGGATGGAGCTCAATGTTCACACCTGAACAGTATCAGGATGTTTAACTCACAGAGACCTGCAGGTCTTCTGTTTATGAGCAGAGCGCTGATAATCCGCTTGTTATGAGCGCTAAACGTTATTTTGCTGCTTCCGTGCGGAGCGGTAGAGAAACACATTTCAAACACGGAACCGAGTCCGGCTACCGAACCAAGCAGAGTTCTGATGACATCACACCGGTGCGCGAAGGTGCGGGCTCCAACCCACAGGAGGAGGGAGAGAGGAGGTAAACAGCGAGTGGATCACAGGGACTGAACTGATGTTTTTGAGCAAAACTGCAGTAAAAATGGCCGTTTGTCCTCATTATCAAGTGTTTCTCCCCCCTCTCACGCTGTTCCTGTCAGCCAGACAGAATAGCTGAATCGCAACTTCTAACGCAGACTCATACAGAGTCTTTGATTTCTGAGTGAATTAACTTAAGAAAACGCATCGACAAAACGCTTTATCATCGCGTGTACCGAGGTCATCTCCTGGACCGGGTCGCAGCACGCCTTCGTCTTCTCTGCCAGCCGAGGTGTCACCCCTGGATGAAACATCGTCCTTTGACGTCCCGGGTCCAAGAGGAGGGTCCGAATACGGTGAGACAGAACACGAGAGATAGCGTTGATGCATCTTTTCCAACAAAACCTAAGTTTATTCAAACCATCACTTTTCACTCAGACACCTGTTTCTTCCTGAAGCAAAATCAGATGCACACACGCATTCATCTCACCTCATGTTCAATTCTCACGACACTTTGCACCCACACGCATCCATAACCACATCCTATTACTCTCAATCTTCATTCACCAACAGAAGGTCTATTTGAGCAAGAACAGCATATCAACTGTTAAAGATTGTCCCACAAAGTTGCCAATGTTGATTGTTATTTCCTGTTTGTCAATTTCAAAATCATTAGTTTAATTTGAAGAATTAAAACTTTTAATTGTCAAACTGGTTTCCTCATTGAACTGAAACACAGACACTCAGATATTATCGTCAGTTTATCGATGAAAACAACCTTTGAGTCTTCTTAACAATATAAAATTTGGTTATTGATTTATTAAAAAATTAATATTCCGAATTAATACGTAGCATGGTTCCTCTTTCATAAAAGAGCCTAAAACCACAACGCTACACTACTAACCAACAATAGCTAACTGCTTTGGATATAAAAAAAAACATTTAAGATATCAGCCTGATAGCTACCATTAGTTGGCCGCCAATTGAGTATCGCTACCATATTGGATGCCATTTTTCCTTCTACTGAAGCCCGTGAGGACAAAACACATTTATTGATCTGACACAAATGGTTATAAAACTTTCACCAATAATATACATTCTGTTTTACACATTAACCTCTTCACTCATTGCCAGTGATGAAAGGGAGTCAGGGATTTTTGACCCTAATGGTCATCCGTTGGTAAGGTCACACCAAAATAAAGAAAATTTTTGGCCGATAACTTGTATAAATGAGTGTCTAATAGTGTTTTAGACATGTGTAGTTATTATTTTTGCATTTTGGTGCTTTTTCTCTAAAACCTCAAAATTCAGCCTAAGAACTTAAGTCTAACCCAGAAGCGCTCTCTAAAACCGTGCACAAGCAATCAGGAGTCTGTAACATTCTGGAAGTCTGGATGGTGGGTCGGTTTGGAAAATGACGAGCTCTCAGCAGGGAGGGACAGTGCATCCAATTCAAACCCTTACAACACGTTTGAGGTCATTTGGCCACTCCGGCTATCCGTAGACGTTTCCTGATTACACAGGGGAGGGAGGGGTTAGGCTCGTCTCCGCACAAGCAGGATGGAAACCAGAACTCCGTTGGCGTGGAACGTCCTCAAATAATTAAAAACCAGGAGGCCAAATGCAAAGTTTAGAGCAGCACATTTACCCAGAGGCTCTCAGATTGAGCAAACTGCTATCATATGGGCTAATCGCTAGCATAGCAGTTTGACCAGTTATACCGATATAAAGATATAAAGTCATCTTGGTTGTTGTTTAAAAATTATATCGATATTCTAAAAATATCGATATATCGTCCAGCCCTAAGTGTTATGATACAATTTTTCAGTTAACTATATCGCACAGGAAACACACAGCGATATTTGAGAGGTTAAGTGGCGCTAGGTAAGCTATCTGAGGCAAGAGGATGCAGGCAGCCCACTGCTCCCGTCTCCCAGGGCTCATGAAACCACAGAAACACCCTAGCTCTGTAAGTTGATGCACGCTTCACTTTCACATTGCTCGACTGCGTTTTTCTGGCTTAAAGAACACAAAAACCTTCATTAGCATAGGGTTAGCCACCAGGCTCTAAGCTTGGTGTAGCTTTGGTTACCTTGTAGCTACATTGATGGAGTTACTGGGTGTCAACCATTTGCTCCCACCTTCAAGTCACTTTAAAAAGCCTCTGAAATATATAAACATAATATAAATAAACAATAGTAAACCCACTGCAGTGGACCGGAGCTGTGACTGCAATGGTGGCAGGGTACCCCTAGAAAATGACTGCGCCCTCTGTTGTCCTGGTGGGGAATTGCTTAGCAACACTCCCCAGGTGATGGAGTAGTCCAAACGGAAACTATCTTCTCTAATGCATGTAACCGACTCCAAACCTGAGCTGACAGAGATCTACAAATCAGGCTTGACAACCTCCTGTTTACACTACACATCCGACTGCTCCCCGACCCATCTCTCAAATGCCATCATGAAGTTTGCGGGTGACACCACCGTGGTTGGACTACAGAGATGAGGTCAACAGACTCACTGCGTGGTGTTCAGTAAACAACCTCCAACTGAACACCACAAAAACCAAAGGACTTATCCTGGACTTCAGGAAGGGCAGAGCTGACCCAGCCCAACTCTACATTCACGGGGACTGTGTGGAGAGGGTACACTCCATGAGGTTTCTGGGTGTGCAGATCTCTGATGATCTCTCCTGGACTGCAAATAGCATGGCGGTGGAAAAATAGGCCCAGCAGCGTCTCCACTTCCTGAGAGTGCTCAGGAGGAACGACCTGGAGGAGAGGCTGCTGGTGACAATCTACAGAGCCTCCATAGAGAGCATCCTAGCGTACGGCACCACAGCATGGTATGCAGGTGCTCAGCTGCAGAGGGTCATCAGCACAGCCCAGAAGATCACCAGCTGCTCTCTGTCCAGCCTGGAGGACATTACCTCAGTAGAGCAGGCAACACCACCCCAGTAACCATCTGTCGGAACGGTTACCGTCAGGCTGACCGTACAGGTCACATACGACCAGGACAAGTAGATTCAGGGACAGCTTCCACCGTAGTAACAACCACAAAACCAGGTGAACCCGTAAACCTGAACCACACATTCACTGTTTCAAGACTGATCAGGTGCACTAACATTTATATGTGCTATTTGTGTTTACTCACTATGCTAAAACTCTGTTTACAATAGTGACCTGCACATTACCCAGCGGATGCTGCTACTCTGTGTGTATACTTTTAAACATTACTGTTGATTTCACATTTAGATTATTCTGCATCACTTTCCTGTATTCTTCTACCATTTGCACCAAAGGGAGTGGCGCTCCAGTTCCGCTGTACCTTGTACAATGACAGCAAACGCTACTCTGTTCTACTCTTTTATCTACAGATGATCGAGACGGCAGTCAAGAGCCAGAGTCCCCCAACTGTCAGTAAAAGAAGAGTGAGATGGAAGTACCTGGACAGGATTGACGAACTTCCCCTCAATCCTCAGTTGCTCTGAGCTTCTGCAGATCTGGTTGTGAAACGGGGTTGTCAAGATCAACGGTGGATCTTCTTTAATGGGATGTTTCTCCACGTTGAACTGAACAGTGGTGTCCTTTAGAATATGAAAGGCTAAGAAGAACAGGGTTGGGAATAACACAGTAAACAGAGTGAATATTTTCATTATAAGAAAATGTAAATAAAATCAATCTTTGAGGTCAAAGCGATACTCCTAAAAAATTCTCACCTTTTCCCCGACTGAGAGATTCAAAGAAGTCATGGCGTGTGAACTGTGATTTATCTGGACGCGTGACTTCACCGTGGGGTCCAGACAGTCTGTCAGGGGGGTTTGCTTTGGGTGCCCTCCTCAGCACAATATTGTGCATGTTAAGTGAATACAGCCGTATGTCCTTCACCAACACTTCCAGCCTCTGTTCCTTAGAGCCATGGCCATTCATAAAATTTTGTATTTTTATGCTTCCCAGATGGCCTACCAAAAGCTCCGGATGTCCGGGTTTACGGGGAATAGACACAACTGGTGATTCAATGTTGATATTAAGGGTCAGTTTGACCAGAAACGAGTCTGAATGGGTCTCTGGTTCCTCAACATTAACCTGTTCATCCTCAAATGAATCTGCAAAACTCTGACTCGCTGTTCGAACTCTGCGTAAAGGCGTTTCAAAGAGCGAAACCATATTGCTGTACTCGGCTGTTTTGGTGGCAAGGACAGTCGACACTCTGGTGGCAGCATTTTTTAACATGGAGTGGAAACTGTCTTCTAACTCACTGGCTGATAGGCTAAGCTCCCACAGGAACTTGGCTGAGTGACTGTAGTGTAAGGATGCCATGTCAAGTTTCACGAAGCACTCTCCTTGAGATTTCTCCATCAGTTCAAAGTTCAAAGCATCTGCAGAAGTACTTCTTTTATCAGAGAAATATGCTAATCCATCAAGCTCCGAGGTGTTTTCATCAACACTCCCAATGCTCACAACAAACTGGCTTTGGCCTCCTTCTGGGGTCAAATCAACCAGCTGCATGGATCCAAGCGAACCCCTGATGTCCAAACAACATCCGTGAGAAACGTTGACTTTGGTGCCAGTAATACTAGCTGTGGCAATCTTTAATACCCTTTTCTCAGGGACCAAGGCAGTACTAGCAGTAATGGACCGTAGGAGAAGCAGGTTTAGACGGTGGATTTCGACTGTTAGTTCTTTGGTCTGGCAATAGGTTGTCTGATACAGCTTTTCCTCTTCCTCACTGTAAGGCTGAGCTGCACCCTGCTGAGCTGATGCTGTCAAAGAGCTTTCTTCTTTGGGAAAAGACTTCTGTAGGAACTTCAGTAGCTCCAGCATCGTCTCAGGGTTAAGGATTATATCCAAGTTGTGGACCTGCATGCTTGTTACCTGGAGGGAGGTTTCCAGGTTCATGCATGGGGAGTCTGAGCTCACAAACTGATACTCAAGCTTAATGAGGGCTTCCTGGTCTTTGAGAATGGGCATGACTGGGGACATACCTCTGATGGGACAGCTGGAGGAGAACTCCGTTTGGTTGAGCTGATACTCAGGGGACTTGCCATCACACAGGATAGGAGAAGATGGCTGGCTTTCCCTGAGGCTACCAGTAGGTATGTCAAAACTCAGATGCTTATGAGAAGCAACAAGCAAGTCGTAGTCTGAACCGTAAGTCTGTAAGGTGTCGACTAGCAGAAGGCCATGAACAGTCAGAGAAACTTCGGTGTCATAGGGCCGTTTGACAAAATGAGCATTTGTGCCGAATACTTTGAGAACAGAAATGTAGCGACCGTCACTTTCTACACCAAGCTGCATGTAGTTGATGTTAAATTCTGCCAGCAGAAGACGGGATTCCACCAGAACCTCCCGAGTGTGCTGTTCCAACAGCATCACACTCTGGGTCAGATTCTTGGCGGAGCCCTGCAGCTTCCAAGAACTGTCAACCTTTTGAGAAATCTTGTCATTATGAACGGTAAGAGGTTCAGGGGACATCGTAATGATTTCCCCTCCACTCAAAGCTGGACCGCTCAGCCTCGAAAGACAACTCTTAAGAGCAATCATCTTCTCAAGGTTAATGTGGACCTTGAGATCAGGCAAAGTTCCTGAAAGCACTGCCCCGGGTAGCTGGGGGTCTGATGTATATCGCAGTCTCTGCTCAAGCTGCAGCAGCACATTAAACTTTTCTACAACATGTGTAGGGCCGACACTACTTTCCTGAAGATGCTTCCAATTGTCATTACAGTGACCCACCATTATCTGCAGGTCTTTGAAGGACAAGGAGTATTTTTCATAAAGCAGTTTGCTGTAAACTTGCGCTCCTTCCTTGGATGCAAGGCTAGGAAGTTCGGGGCTTTTAGGTTGTGCTTTTAAAGGCGTGTTGAGCTCGGGAACAGGAGACTCAGGTGGTGTAGCAGGAGGGGTCTGGTACTCGTCATCACTAAAGTCTTCCTTGTCATTCTGAGTAACTTTTGAGTTGACAGTACTGCCATCTGAAAAATAAAGAGAAGGGAGAGTACGTCGAATTCTAATCTCATCAGGTGAAGAGTTACGAGAAAGGAGCTGATGGGTTTTTGGGTGGTGGGGTGGAATGACGACCAATAGTCTCACCTTCAGAGTTGGTCAGAAAAATTCTGCCTAAATCCACCACAACCAGCATTGGGTTCTCGGACTGAAAGTCATCTGGGAAAAACACTTGGGGTGCACAGATGTCCAGTTTCATTGTCCAGCGCTTCCCATTTTCCTTAATAAACCAAGCAATTCAACTTTATAAATAATGGGACTAAAACATTTGGTATTACATTACAAAACATCTTTTCTTACAATGAACTCTCCCACAAGTAGCTGGTCAATTGTTTGTCGAAT